TTTAATGACATATCCTGAGAAATCCATGCAGTTATTTGATTTGGTTTTTGGTTTGATTAGCTGACAGCTTTTGGATGCCAGAAATGAGAGCAAAGAGACATATTCTGTCTGAAGGACTTACACGTGCATGACTCTTCCATGAATATGCTATGTTACTTTTCAGCATTTCAGGTGTTTTATTGTTATTAATATGTAAACTTAGTTCTGAACTCTTGATTATTCAGAAAGTACATGCACATCTAGCAAAAACATTCTTCTATAACATGTGATGAGTATAAAGGACACAGGAAAACTATTTTGAAACAATATTAATCAAGCTGATTATTCATTTCACGATGTCAGAGTTCTTAACCAGGGAGAATTAATTAAAATCTAGAATTGTGATAGAAGTTCAATTACATGTGCCCACTTTTGTAACACGGCCAAACTGGTTACTTAAACTGCATTTTCTGGTTCTCCAAGTGAAAAAGTCAAGATGCAACAGTGGCATTAGGTCATTATGTTTCAAGTCCAGGAGGAAAGGGTGGGTTTGGTCATCAGGAAGCACTCAGTGTTCTGACCCAAAGTAGTTCCTGCTAGCTCAGAAACTGAATATGAAGCAAGCTATGCCAGGCTGGAAGTGGTGACTGACATGGTAAATGAAGTGCAACACAAACCCAGAAGTGCCACTTAAATTGCAAAGATAAATTTGAGTTTGCCAAAAAAGGTTGATTATACCAAATAATAGGTAGCCAGTCAAGGAATGCTTTTGCACAGCATGGGCTTCCTAAGTATTCTTGCCAACTAGTAATGAGCATTTGCCAAATCAATGTAATTCATTCATTCAGATTTGCAGTAAATAACCTTTGATCAATTACAATAATTAAAACATGGACTGTGTTTTGTTATTTTGACATGCTTTTTGGGCTTGCATGTCCTGCATAGTTCAGCAACAAATTGATCTGAACAATCTTTGTCATTTGGAGACAATTACAGCTTGTGTTCTTCACTGTCTAAAGACTTTTTGTCCTTTGAACATAAGCTAATTTTTTAAAATCCCCAAATAAACTAATTACTAAGCAAAAAGAGTTACAAATTGTTTCAGAAGTGGTAGTTTCATTTGCAATCTAAACCTACATGCAGAGAAGACCCAAGCAGGTGTGGGGCCTGGGGCAAATCAGCCTGTGTGGGGCCTCGCCCCAAGACATGAGGAACCCAGCGGCAGATTTGGCGGTGAGGGGGCGGGGGGGGCGCCAAGCAGCCAGACACGCCAGATTCGGCGGCAGAGAGAGGGGGGAGACATGGCAGCACGGAGTCACTGCCACCGCTCTGCCCGGCTCCGTGGGGCTCCCAAAGCAGGAGGCCCAGGGCAAATCGCCCCAATTCACCCTCCCAACATGTAAACAAGCAGCAAAAGAAACAGATCTTTAATGATACTATCAGCACACATTCTTCTTCACCATCAACCTTCTCCAGTACAAAGTTAACTGAGCTGATACTCTTCAGGCAATTCTTCTAGGATCAGCATCTGGTGCACACCATGAAATCAGTGCTTATGTCACCAGCCAAATGCTTTTACAAAGGTATGCTAAAACTCCAGTTGCAATTGTTAACGCCTGAAAATTGGAGGTAATCAAGTGTAGACACATTCTTATTTAATGTGGAGGTATTAAACCAATACACTTCTAATAGATTTATATATACATAGTTGCAATTTGAAAACAGCTTTGGGTTTTAAAAGTAGTGTTAGCACAATTCAAGGCTAAGTAGATTAGATACTAATTTTATAATCTTCAAAAATGCTAGTTTAAACCAAATATAGACAAAAGTGATAAAAACTATAATTGTTCTGCTAAGTGAACAGAATTGACATATCATTTGAACTCCAATTCCAAGGGACCTGACTCTACCATACACATGTATTTAGCAACAATATTCTGAAGGGAGAGGAAGAAAGATGGAGAAATGCACAGAAATTAGGAAGTGAAATACCCCTAACATCATTGTAGTAGCGTGGAAGCAAAGGGGTTTCTTAGTTTGAATTCTACATGTGAAGGGAAAAAAAAAAAGGAAAGTGGAATTTTGGCTAAGAAGCAAGCATGTCGACACCAATTTAAAAAAAATGGACTATATTGGAAATAGGCATTTTTGCCTGATGTGGCTAATAATGTGGCTGATAAATGCCTCGTGCACGTGCACAGCCCCAGCATGCACAGGGGCAGGAGTGCAGCCTAGCAGCTTGGAGAGCTGTGTCCAGCTCGTAAGTCTGTTGTGGTGGAAGAGAAGGGGGAAGGGAAGGGGTGTGGGGGTGCAGATCAAGGTCCTTATGGTGAGGGACAGAGTGGGGCTGAGGCAGGTGCTGCTCAGCTGGGGCGGGGCACAGAACAGTCGTGACTTGTCTGGGGGCGTAAGCGGAGCTACTACCTCTGTGCACACTCCAGGAGGCATGGGGGGAGCATGTGCCCCAATCTGTGCAGGGCAGCATGGGTTGCTGCTGTGGGCTGGGACCGGGCTACGCTCAGGGCAGGCGGTGGTGGCTATGGGGGAGGAGGGGCTGGAGCCACCCCAAAATTTGCCGTAGCTCCCCCTAACCCCCTCCCAGTGCTACCACCCACCCTGCCCCGAGCACAGCCCAGCCCAGACCCCACCAGGAACAGTTCAGCCTCGGTCTCAGCCCCAGCTCCAGTGGCAGCCCACCCCACCCACAGATCTGGGGGCATGTGCCCCCATGCCCTGCCAAGCTGTGTGCTGCGGTGGGAGCCGCTTCCCCCACTCCCCACGCCCCCTGGATGAGCCGTGGCTCTCTCCCAAGCCCCGCCCCACCCCTCCTGTGCAGCACCTGCCCCACTCCCTCACTTACCTCAGGGGCCTTGAACTGTGCCCCCTTACCCCTTCCCTTCCACCACAACAGACTTACCAGCCAGATACTGCTTTTCAAGCTGCCAGGCTGCATACCGGGAATTGGATTGGTATTGGCCGATATGCCTCCTTAAAAATCAGCTATTGGCATTAGCCCAAAAAATCTCTATTGGTGCCCCAATGCCTTCATATACCGGAGCAGACCTGTTTGAATAAAATCATAAAGACTGCATTGTGTTATGACAATATAATCTGCTCTCAGTGATCGGTAACACTCACACAGCAGAGTAGATGCTGGACTATGGGTGGAAACAAACTTTCACTGTTTTTGTGTTATCACAACAATCTTCATGGCAGCACGAAAGCCAGGCAAACAAAAATATTTATGGTCTTTATTGTGGCCACAATTTTTGTGCATTTATGGTGGTGACAAAGGTGGTATTAATCTGTGCTGATATTTAAAGGGAGACAGCTGTTAGCTTTGTGCTCCAGGGGCTTGAGGGGCCCAATCGTGTGCACCAGGAAATCCTGGGCAGGATCAGGCCCCTCAAGTCCCTGAAGTGTCTGCCTGGCTTTCCCCCTTTACAGAAATGCATCCAGGTAAAGTCAGGGTTTCCCAGGGACATGTCTCTGTAAGTGGGGAAAACCCTAACTTTCCTGGCTTACAGAAATGCACTATGTAGGTTTCTGGGGGTGAGCCTCTTTAAGAGAAGAAAGTTGGGCACGTGCTTCCAGGGCTTGAGGGCCCAATCCTGAACAGGAATTCTCAAGCCCTGGAAGACCACATTGCCCATTGTCCTGAAGCTTCAAAAGGCAGAACAACAGACAATATATGTTTCACCCAATGAAGAGACAGCTGTGCCAAGACACATCCTGGCACAGTGCATCTGCTTCATTTGGTGATGTTTATTTCTAGTCTGTAACTCAGTCATAGTTTCTGCTTCCCTTTTACTCTACATAGGTAATCCTTTCCCTAGCCAATCTTATGGCCTCCTCCTTCCCTGCTAAATGGGGCTGCCTACTGCTTCAAGAGGTATAGCCAATGAGCCACACACATTCTACATATGCAGGAAATGGAGTAGCAGACTGCAAGCAGCTGCTTTCCTCTCCTGTGTTGTGCCCTGTTATATAGGTATGTCATGAAAGAGGTACTAAGGCAATTAATACTTTTCTGTATGGGCTCTGTTTCTGTTATATAGGTGGTTTCTGTTTAAATCAAGAAACTATAATAAAGGAAACTATCATAAAGAAAAGATTATGTAATAAAGGATATTCTTCTTCAGGTTCTTCTTGCCACAAAATGCCTACTTCGAAGATAGCCTACTTCATTTTTCTTCCTCAGAACTCTCCACAACCTCCACACTGCTACAGGATCATATTCCGACACCATTATACGTGGTGAGCAGTACAGGAGTCTATAACTAGTGCCATTAAATCACATACACTGAATGAAGCAAGGTGTTATATTCAATGTGAAGGAAAACATCCAAATCTGTCCAGGGTTTTCAATCCTATTAGGGACACTTGACAGCAATGGTGAAAAATATTTTGCTTAGAAGTGTTTATCCTCTGTCTTATCACAGCATTTCTCAGCACTTTAAATCATATTGCATAGTTTCAGTAATAAAACAGTTGATCTTGTTCTTCACATAAGCGTATTGTTTTCTTTCGTTTTTTTCAGGAAAACACAAACTACAACCTCCATGGAGGAGTTCCCATTTCAAAATTTCTCTTCTCATTTGAAGAGTCTGAGACAGACAGACACAAAAACTTAGTGTGCAGTTGAAGCAGTGTCAAATAGAGAATATATTTAAACTGTATCACACTGTGGTGAAGGAATTTGGATTCATGTAAACTAATCCTTATGATTGAAGTTAGTTTTTACCATACTATCTTTGACGTAAACAATATTTATGATCAAATAAAAGGGAAAAAAGCTGGTATGCATTGTGGCAACTAAACAGAATGTAATTTTCACTGTAATTATTCTCTTTTGGGGGCAAAACAATCATTGAAACCTTATGCTTATTACTACTCACTGAAGTACATTTTTCCCTCCCTTGACAAGGAGGCTGTCAAAACAGATAATTATGGAAATGCTAGAAATAGTTTGAAAGAAGACAGGAGCTGTCACAAAAAGTTTCTTCTTTTTAACATTTTACCTTGTATCCAACTGTGCAATTCAGAAGCCACTTAGTTTTATCCCTGCATATCAAGCACATAATGCATTAGAAAAGCAGTCATCTACTGTGGTATTTTCTATTCTAAACCATTTTCTTGCTCCTTATACTAGTTAAAGAAACAAGCAAGCTCACTTAATCCCGCATAAAATATTAAACACATACATACACATATTCAGAACAGTAAGACCGTAACTTAAATTAAGAAAATAAGGGCATTTTGAGCTAGCCTCATTTCTAACTATCCAGTTCTTGTTGGAGAACCTCAACAGGGATGACTGACGGATCCTAGGTGGCACGTCTTCATTGGGGTGGGACACTTGGCACAAGAATACACTTGGAACTGAGTGTCCCTACTAATAAGAATACAGGACTAGAAGAAGCCTCCTTTAGCTGTCAAGTCTAAGGTGCCCGTGAACACAAAAGACATTTATCCACGCAGCTCCACAAGACAGTCTACTCTGATCCCTCTCGCACACCACCACCACTAAATATCCCATGAAAAAAATCCACTCCACAACATGTCACAGGTAAAAAAAAACAAAAAACCCCCATCAATGGCATAAATGCAGCAACAATGCCTTGCCACTGCAAGTGGTAAGGAACTGATTAGGATAATATATGTTCAGTTGATTTTAAAAGTAGGATCAATTAAGAGCATTATACCCCATGCTAGGAAGGAAAGCAAAGACCCTTATGGACCATGCCAATCTGACTCAGGAGAAAAATACCTCCCTGACCTCAAATCTGGTGGTGTCTGACCTTGAGTGTATGATTATCATCCTCTAGCCCAGAGATTTTCAACCTTTTTTTACCAAGTGTGTCCATTCCGTCTCAGAGTTTCACCTCATGTACCCCTTTATATTTTTTTCTTGTTTTTAAGAGGGTGGGGCAGATCGAGGCCCCACAATGTGGGAGGGAGTGAGGCAGGTGCTGCTCAGCCAGGGCAGGGCAGGGCGGGGCACAGGCTGGTGCTGGGAAGCCAGCTCCTGCTGTTGCGTGCACCCTGGGAGGATATGGGGGGGCATGTACCCCCAGATCTGTGCATGGGGTAAGGGCAGGCTGCCGATCGAGACCCCAACGGTGGGGGAGGGAGCGGAGCTGGCACAGGGGCTGCCCCACCAGGGCAGTGCGCAGGACTGAGTTCTGTGTGTATGGGGGGGTAGTAGCTCCCGCAGCTATGTGCACCCTGGATGGACATGGGGGGTGGGGGGGTGCCCCCAGATCTGTGTGTGGGGGGCAGGTGGGCTGCTGCTACGGGCTGGGGCACTGGGCTCTTCCCAGCGGGGGCTGGGCTGGGCAGTGGCGAATTCTGGAGTGGCTACAGCCCACCCCTCATAGACCCACTCTCATAGGCCCTGCGGTGAGGGAGGGAGTGGGGGCTAGGGCCAGGCAGGCTCTGCCACCGGCACTGAACACGGGGGGAAATTGAGACAGGAGGCTGGTAGGGGAAGTGCTGCATGGAGGCAGTGCCTGCTTGTGCCCTGGCCAGAGCTGCAGCCCCAGGCCCTGCTCAGGCCAAGGTGGAGTCTCTGCTCCTGCCACCTCTGCTCTGCCATGCGCTCTGCCTGCAGCTGTGGGACCCTCCATGGTTGGAGTGGGCAGGCAGGAGCTGCCCCTGAGGCCCCTGGCCTCTGCTACAGGTCCCCCCTGCTGTTTCTTCCCCTCCAGCCATGCAAAGTGTGTGCAACCAAGGACAGCAGGGCCTGGGTGTGAATTGGGCTGTGCCCAAGCAGGCTCTGCCACCCACCCAGGGACAAGGCCCGGGCTTTGTCCTCAGGGCAGACCCCGCTGTACGCATCCCCCAGGGCCCGCAGTGCTCGGGCTAGGCAGGGCAATGGGACAAGGCAACTCTCCCACCTGCCCAGGGGCTCCTTCCGGCCCCACTGGGCTGTTCCCAGCTCTAAGCAGTGCTCTCTGGGCCCACTGAGATCCCCTCAAATTCGCCGTAGTCCCCCCACAACCCACCTCCCAGCGCCACCATCATCCATCCCAAGCGCAGCCCAGCTTGCCCTGCCCCGTGCACAGATCTGGGGGCACACGCCCCCCACACAGCCCTCTGGGTTGCACATAACAGCAGGAGTCACTGTGCCCCCTACCCCAGCTGGACAGCCCCTGCCCCACTCCCTCCCCCCACAACAAATTTACCAGCCAGACCCAGCTGCTCTCCACATGGCCAGGCTGTGCTCCTGGCCGCTCGTGTACTGTGCTGCAGATGCAGGCATGCACGTGGAGTTCTACATACCCCCTAGGACCCTTTTAAGTACCCCATGGGGTATGTGTACCCCCGGCTGACAATCACTGCTCTAGCCAGGTACCTGAGTAGTTTCTAAGCACCACCATAAACACTAATGCATTCTAGCCAAACTCCTACCACTAGCTTGGCCAAAATCCAAAAACTCCAGAGAAGCAGAGGTATTTTGGTGATATCTTTTATTGGTCAACTGTACAGTTTGGAGAGATGTTAGCAAGATTTTGAGCACAAAGTGCCCTTCCTCAGACAGTATTTTCTGGTTCACCACACTACAACATTGTACCCCTACTGCAAGGCAAGATGGGGGGGGAAAAAAACCCTGCAAAAGTTAAATAAACAAATTTCTTCCTTGCCTGAGAAGTCCTGAAGCATGCAAATAAGAGCCACTTGCATATGGAAATTAAGTTTCCTTTCAACTCTCCATGGAGACACCAAATACTTGAAGCTACATCATAAGACATGCTGATAATTTCTGAGAACACAGCTATCCTTTCACAGTGTGCATTCCACACTTATTTTGAGCCCCATTCTGAAAGTTATTCAGGTCTCTTTCTGCTCTACCTGTATAAGATGATTTTTAAAACCCTATTCTTTTACCATTAGATTTTTTTTTTCTAATTTCCAGTCTAAATTTGTTTGTAACCAGTTAATGTACGTGTAGCCATATCATCTTGTGTCATAGAGAAGTAGGGATGGAAGAAACCTCCATGGGTCATGTACTCCAACCCCCTGCCTGAGGCAGAGTCATCCCTATTCAAATCATCCTATTCAAAATCTTGTCTAACCTATTAGACAAACTACACAGTCAACCTTGAAACAACACAAAACATAACACTCAAACCTGTCACGGGTAAAACACGAGGAACACAATGGCCAAAATCTTGCTTCTGTAAAGGCTATTAGTTCAAAAGAACCCAGGAAGGCCACCCTCACTCCTCCACTAAAGAAAAAGGCAAAGCCCCCTACAATCTGTACCACTCTGATCATTCCCTCCTGACTCCAAATATGGGGACTGGTCTGAGCCTAAGAGGAGGGACAAGACCCTCTAGCTAGGAACCTCTGGCACACCTCAGCCAAAATCCCCAGACTTAACTGCAGCCAATACTCAATGCTTCTGAGGAAGGCTTAAAAAAACCCTGACACATGTAGCAGCTGGGGGGTGAGGCTTAATTCCCTCCCAGCCCCATGCAGCAACCAGCAAAGCTCAGAAGCATGGGAAATACCCATAGTAGAACACAGGCATATCTATACCTCCATCATCCCTGACCAATGCTTATCCAACCTCTTCTTGAATACCTCCAGTAATGAAGAGTCCACAACCTCCCTAAGCAGTCTGTTTCATTACCTCACTGTTCTAACAGTGAACAAGTTTTTCCCTCATATCCAATTTATATCTACTCTGCTGCAACTTCAAGTCACTGGTTTGTGTCCAATTTTCTATAGCAAGACAGCAAAGGTGTTTTTCCTCTTCTTTACAGCAGCCATCCTTCAAGTATTTGAAGACTTCTATCATGTCCCCAATTAAGCATCTTTTCTGCAAGCTGAACATACTTATCTCCTTCAGCCTCTTCTCATATGACTTGCCTTCCATACCTTTATCTTTGCTGCCTGCCTCTGGACACTTTCTAACTTAGAATATGGAACCCAAAACTGTACACAGTACTCTAGACCACTGGTCTCCAAAGTGGGGTGCGTGCACTCCAGGGGGTGTGCAAGACAATCCATTGGGGTGTGGGAAGAAAATATTAGAACTTCTATTTATATTTATATAAATATACATATATTGGGGTGCGTGCTCAAAAATTTTTTACTGATAGGGGTGCACAAATATAAATATACATATATTGGGGGTGCGTGCTCAAAAATTTTTTACTGATAAGGGTGAGCGATCAAAAAAGTTTGGAGACCACTGCTCTAGACGAGGCCTAACCAGTGCCAAGTAGAGAGGCACTATCACCCATCATCTCCCGTGTTTGCATCTACATGCATTAACCTTTCATGCAGCTGTATTACACTACAGGTTCATATTGAGGCTGTGATCTACCAAAACTCCCAAACCCTTCTCTTTAGTGCTGTCATCCAGCCAGATGTCACATATTTTGTATTTATGTTTTGGATGATCTTTCCCAAGATGTAGCTCCTTGCTTTGTCAGCACTGAATGGAATCCCATTAGCTTCAGCACAACTTTCCAATCTGTTAAGATCTTTCTAAATGGTATTCCCATCTTGCAATGTGTTTACAATACTTCCCAGTTTTGTCTCATCTGCAAACTTGTTCAAGAAGCTCTCAGTACCAGCATCCAAACAATTAATAACACATTGAACAGCACCTGGCCCAGAACATACCCCTGTGGGATTCCACTCAAAACCTCCTGGCTTTCTGACATGGATCCATTTGCCTGCAGCTATTGAACCAGCTGTCTACCTACCTTATGGTAGTTTTGTCCAGCCCACATTTGTTTATGAGAAGGTCATGCAGGACCCTATCAAAAGCCTTGCTGAAGTCCAGATACACTATACCCACTGCATTCCCTTCATCTGCCCAAGTAGTTATTTTGTTAAAAAATACAATAAAGGTTTTTTTTTACATGATTTATTTTACATAAATCCACGCTGGCTGCTCATGATACTTGTAAATGGCCTTCCTTAGAATACGCTCTAGTAATTTCCTGGGTACTGAGGAGAAGCTAACCAGTCTGTAACTCCCTGGGTCCTCCTTTTTGCCTTTTTTAAACAGGGGTACCTCAGGATGAAGTTCATCAGGCCCTGCTGACTTGATTTAATTCAGACCCATCAGAAGTCAGCTGATTCTCTCATTGTTATCTCCTCCCTCAGCTGGTTTCCTTCCTTGTCCAAATAATCCTTATTAAGTATCTGACTGCTGCTTTATTTTTTTTTGTGAAGACTGAGGCAAAGTAGCTATTGAGTAGCTCCAGCTTCTTTGCAACTTTTGTTTAGTTTCACCTGGTTAGTTAAGAGTGGACCCATACTTTCCTTGGTCTTTCTTTTCTGGCTAACATTTACAGAAACTCTTCTTGTCATCTTTCATTTCCCTCAACAGGTACAGCTAATTCTTTATCTTTGCCTTCCTGATTTTGTCCCTGCAGGTTCTTGCTATTTCCTGGTATGCTTCCTTGGTGACCTACTCATTTTTCTATTTCCTGTAAGCTTTCCTTTTGTATTAGAGGCATCCTAGAAGCTCACTACGCAGCCACATTGGTTTTTTGCCATTTTTCTTGTGCTTCTGTATGTTAGAATAGTTTCTTGTTGGGCCTCCAATACTGTACCATCTAGGTGCTTCCAGCCTTCCTGGGTGCCTTTATCCTTCAATCTTCCTTCCCATGACACCATGTCTATTAACTCCTCAAGTCAGGAGAAATATGTTTTTTTGAAATCTAGCATCCTAATTATGCTGAATTCATGCTTTCCCTATCTAAGGATCAGGAATTCTATCCTATTATGATTCAGGGGTGCAGGTGGTAGCCCTGTTGGTGTAAGGATATAGGTAGACAAGTTTTTTTTGAGTAAATTTGATAACTTTTATTAGACCAACTCAAATAATTGGAAAAAATTATTTGTTGCAAGCTTCATATCATGATAATTTCAATCAAGGTGCCCATCACCTTCATCAGTTCTTCCCTATTGGTCAGGACACGATGAATGCCCTAATTCAGTAGTGACCGGACTTTTTGCCTGATGGGATGGACTGCCTGACTGGGCTGGTGCTCTTGATCCAGCATGGACACAAAGAGCACTATCCGGCCATGCGTAATTGAAGTTGTTGGCAAATACAGGACCACGTTGTAACAGTTGTGGTCCCATGCAGGGAGGAGGCTGGCTTGCTTAAGTGGCAATAGGCACCCAGACCATAAACATGCTAAATAACCTAAGAGGGGAAAATGCATGAAAAATGTGAGGGGGGCCAAAGACGTGAAAGACATGCCATTGTTAAGGCAACCAAGGAGGAAAAGGAGATGCGGATCACCCATAAAAGTACAAGCAGAAACAAGAACTTTAGAAACACCACCCCCACCCTGAAGTACTGAACCCCGGAAAACTTCTAAACAACAGGGAAACACTCTGTCCTTGGGACTACGTAATACCTATGCAAAGGTTTCTGTTGTATCTTAACTTAGGCAGTTTTCTGTTGTTTCTGTCTTTTGTTGCATCTTGATTTAAGCTGAGTTTTCTGTTGTTTCTTTGTTTTATGCTTAAAACTGAATTGCTGTACTCAAACTCTCTTTTCAAAGAATGGACTATTCTTGTTCAAGCCATTTTCATGACTTCAGTGTCACCACCTGAGTTTTTAACACTAAGGTTAGGTAACAGTTTCCCATCAGTACCATCCCATACTTTTGGATAGATTTGTCACCTTCTTGAAAAGTGCCTCAACTCCTCTTCCTGATTTGGTGGCCTATAAAATAATCCTTATCTTTATATTGGTGCTGCATCTTTTACTCTTCATCTTTACCTGAATGCATCCTGCTCTATGTCCTTCTTCCTGAACCAGGGAAAAAATGTTTGTGACATACAAGGCAACACCACCAGCTTTTCTCTAAACTCTGTCCTTCTGAAACAAAGGGTAATCCTTAATGTTGATGTTCCAGTCATAAGAGCTGTCCCACCAGGTCTCTGTGATACCAGTCAGGTCATAGGTTTTTTCACAGGCTGCAGTACCCAGCTTATTTTGTTTATTCCCCATATGTCTTGCATTTATATATATACATTGGACATAGTTTGCATTTCAACCTACTCAACTCCCTTTTGCACTGCTTGTTGCTGTCCTGTGACTCTCTGGCCCTTTTCTAGAGTTGAGTTGCTTTGTTCAGTCCCTTTCCCTCTGGACTGTCTGCACTGTTGCTGGAACCCAATTTAAAGCCCAAAGGGCAGACAGACCACAGAATCATAGGGCTGCAAGGGACCCCAAAGGATCATTGGGTCCAGCCCCCTGCATGAGCAGGAAAGACATCTGGGGTCAGACAACCCCAGCCAGGTGACCGTCCAGTCTTCTCTTGAAGACCTCTAGGGTAGATGATTACACCACCTCTGGGCAGGGGGGGCTTGTCTCATAGTCTGGACATCCTAGTTGTAAAGAAGTTATTCCTAATGTTCAGCCTGAAACTATCCCTCAGCCTCTTCTCATATGGCTTGCCATGCAAGTCCCTGATCATGCAGATGGCCATTCTCTTGACCCTCTCAAGCTTTAGCATGTCCTTGTTGAAGTGTGGCGCCCAGAACTGGATGCAATACTCCAGCTGCGGCCACACCACTGTTGAGTAAAGTGGGAGAATTACTTCTTTGGATTTACTGGAGATGCATCAATTGATGCATGCAAGAGTTTTATTGGCCCTAGTAGCTACTGCGTCACATTGCTGGCTCATATTCATGCTGGGGTCTATTGTTACCCCCAGATCCCTTTCATTTGTAGTGCTAGTCAGGTTAGTGATGCCCAGCCTATAGGTGTGCTGGGGGTTCTTCCTTCCCAGATGCAGCACTTTGCATTTCTCGATGTTGAACCTCATCTGGTTCTGTTCTGCCCAACATGCCAGCCTGTCTAGGTCTGTTTGTACCTGCAGCCTATCCGCGGGTGTGTCCGCACAACCCCTTATCTTGGTGTTGTCCGCGAACTTGGCCAATGGGCTTTTCACCCCCTCATCCAGGCCATTGATGAAGATATTGAATAGCACTGGGCCAAGTGCTGAACCCTGGGGTACGCCGCTGCCCACATCTTACCAGGATGACACCGATCCATTCATTTGGACTCTTTGTCCTACTCCGCAACCAGTTTTGCACCCACTTGATGGTCCCACAGTTGAGCCCAATATCTTCCAGTTTTCTGATCAGTACCTCGTGGGATACCAAGTCAAAGGCTTTCTGGAAGTCGAGGTATATGATATCAACCACTATTCTCTCATCCAGGTGATGAGTCACCTGATCATAGAAAGAAATGAAGTTGGTCAGACAAGACCTGCCTGTGATGAAGCCATGCTGGCTGTCATTCAGTATCAGAAATCCCATCTCTTGAAAGCAGTCCTCCCCAGAACATCTGTCCATTATCAAAGGCTTCACATCAGCATCACCATTTCAACCATGTGTTTACTTCTAATATACAATGATCCCTGCCCTGGCTCCTGCCTTCCCCAGGAAGGGTCAATGAGAACACCACTTGTGCTCCAAACTCTTTAACCCTCCAGCCAAGAGCCTCATGGTCACCTCTGATGTTCCTGGAGGTAAGCAAGAAACGGTACTGATCTGAAGGATGGATGAGCTCCAGCCAGACAGCATCACCTCCTGGGACCCTAAATCCAGATGACAAAATTGGTGCCCTTGTCCCCTGCAGAAGGAAGTCACCAACCACTACCACTCTTCTCTTACTCCTTGGTGCAGTGGTCCTACAGGTTGTATCACTGGGGCCCTGCACTTTCTGCTCTTTAGACTGCAAAATCCTTTGCATTATAGCTGCAAATGTCCTCTCCTCTGCCTTTCCTTCAGCTGTTCCACCAGAATGCTTGAAAGCAGTTGCTGATGTCAGTCTGTTCCTCCTGAATTCTATGGAACCTTCCCTTCTTTGAGTAGCCACATGCTGCCACTTCTTATTTTCCTTTGGCCTCTCCAATACTAACCTCTCCTATTGTGTCAATACTGTCCTCAAAATTGGAATAGCTCTCTGATATTCACCCTGTGAATGTATTTATAAAATGTACTTGGATCGCCTCTCAACCTTCATTCTATTAAGTTAAAACAAACCAAGCTTTTTTAATTTGCTAAAAATAGGTTTACTATTCCTTAATTATCCTAGTTGATCTTCTCTGTGCCTGTTCCTGTTTTTTTTTTTTTTTAAACACAAATGATAAAACCTATATTCTAAACAAGGTTTTACTACTTACTGCCTTGTGTAGTGGTAGTGATACTTCAGTCTCCAACTAAAAACATCTTCATCCTAAAGCATACTAGCCTTTTACATGGCCACATCACACTGCTAGGTCATGGTCATATTACAACTGATCAAACCTTCCCTTTCCTGTGCCTGTAGCCTATAAGCCCAGTCCTATAAACAAAAGTTTAGTTCCTAACGCTTGCTTCTGCACATCACAGAATTATACTTCATACCATTTCCACTGCTTCACTCCACAAAGTTATCTAATTCTTCTAGTATACTGTAATCCTTTCCTCCTCAAAATTATCAGTACCTCTCCAGTTGTTACAGAAAAATCCCTGTTATCAGGCACGAGTGGGGAATGTGGGGTGCTGCGTATCTAAAAATGCCAGTTACCTGAGGCTGCCGGTTTAGCCGGCAGGGCCATGGGTGTGTGTTGGCAGGGGGGGAGGGAGGGAGTGGTGGTCAGAAGTATTGGCAGCTGCACGTGGAGCGGCTAGAGCACAGGGTGGTGGTGGCCACATGTGAGCTCCCCTCCTTCACCCCCGCACCTGGCTGGCTGGCTCGAAATTCCAGTTAATAGAGTGTTCCAGTTACTCAAATGCTGGATAACAGGGATTTTACTGTATCTATATATTTCATATGCACATTTTTATTTTTCACCCCAAGGTCATTAATGAAAGCATCAAACATGGTGAGTTCCAAGATCACTGTCAGAGGACCATCACTAGTAGCTGGTCTCCAACCTGAAAACGCCCCTTTAACATAACTCACTGTAGTCTCCTTTTTAATCTCTCCTTACCTGCCTTATGTTTAGGGTATTAACCCTCATCTTCTCTAATTTATTTAATAATTTCCCATAAAGCTCAGTGTTAAGCCCTTTGCTTAAATCTGACTAGACTAGATTCACTGCATTGTCCCAACCTAAGAAATCAGGTATCCTATCACAAAAGGACATTAGATTGGTCTGCCATGATCTTTCTGAGAAAATAAATCATGATGTGTTTTGGCCCGTTTTCTGTTTATATCCATATATTTGGTGATTGTTTTTTAAAACATATATTCTAAAACCTTTCACATAAACACTCAAGTGAAACATACAGGTCTGTAAGCGCTCTGCTTGCTATTCCCCAAGCACAAGAGAATCTCAGCATTGATAGATTCTTTGAAGATCCATGGTACAGAGTTGCTATTTCATAGTTTCATAGTTTCTAGGGTTGGAAGGGACC